TCAATACAACTTTGCAATATACTTAATTTCCACAGTCACTTTAACTTCAACATACGCTATAATTCACAACGATTCACGCACTTTACTTACGACTTGACTCGATTATCTGTCTCTATCTCTTCAATCTGTAATTATTCATGCCGTCACTTCTTTTGCTGGCTTATATATACAAAAATAGAGGACGCATAGAGAAGACTAGAGTTGTCACTAACGGACATGATCGTTCTTGAATCTCATGACGTGTTACTAGAGTCACGTGACTTCCGCTGTCGTAACAATATTAAACCGTTGTAGTGCATTGACTAAATTTATTTTAACTTCAATAATTTAAGTTCTTGCTATATATTGTTAATACAGACTACATAACAATTCTATATATAATATAACATTACGTTATTAGTTAAGTTACATTAGTACTTGCTAATTATTTTAATTGTATTTATCATTATTGTAACTTCCTTTTCTTCTTCTTCTTAAACTTTATATAATTTTATCGCGGGTAGTTTTTGGTTACGTTTTGGCAATTACTGAGGACTTGTATTTATTAATACTTCCTGTTTCTCTGTGTTTTGTTAGGCGACAGAGTTTGGTTACTTAAGGTCTGATTAGTTGTGTTAGATATTCCACGTAGTATGTTTAATATATTAATTTTCTGTTTATTACACTTAACATGGTAATGTTTTAATTAATAGTACCAACATTCTAGCTATTTATTTTACGATACAGGTATTCATTTAATTTCTTATTTTGCATCTTCATAAACATTAGTTTTTGATTTTGTTATTGGTCATATCCTGCTACATGGCTCTGCAACTAAACAATAGCACGTGTTATCTCAGATGTTAGACACCACTAAAGTTACACTGTCGGAGTAATTTAACGGATGTTCATAGGTCACAAGACATTATTAAGCTGGATTGGTGTAAATTTTTATCTTACACTGTTATACCGATGTTAAGATGTTCGACAAACGTTAAATCTGCGACAGATTTTTTATTTTTTGAAGATAACAATTAGTCTAAATAAAGTATATTCTACTCTTTATTTACCATTGCTTTGATCAAAAGTATTGAATATAATGTTTAATATATCCAACTTTGTTATTATTATCATCATACTTTTGTTATAGAAACTATTTTGCATTTTTAGTTTAGTATATGTATTTAGGATTAATTAGCCTAAATCTTCTAAGGTGGCCGAACCTCGTGAGATATTATAGGTTTACGGCCAAAGAAACAGCAAGAGTACCCAACTGATGAACCTATGCATTCTAATCTTTATAAGTAAAAACAGTATAGTTAATTAGCTATATTCGTACCGGATTTATTTTGTATCCAAGTGCTTGCTGTGTGTGGAACTTAATATCAGTTGTAATAATTTGAGTTTAATGGTCTTCAATTCCGAACAACTTGTATAGCATTATTTTTTATTCTTCTTTAGCTATGACAAAAGAGCGTGTCATAACTCCAACTCAAAACACAGATATATTGTTTTTTTTCTTGTTCCTTTATAGTATTTAGATGGTAGAGCAATTGAAAGATCGGAAAGGATTAAAGCTGTGCAGGTAAGATTTAATCACATAAGATGTGAGTGAAATCCTTAGAATAGTGTAGATAGATCTAAAATGAACGAAATAACATAACTATAAACCCATGCAAAAAGTTTATTTGTTGCATTGAAATTGAAGCAAATAGTTTTAAATCATTTTATTGAAGAAATAACATTAATATAGCAAAAAAATAGTCTAAATATTGTCTGTAACTTAAATCTTCCAAAAATTGACAATTGTGGTATATATATGTATATTAATGTTCAGTCTTAATATATATATTCAAATGAATGGTCATTCGATTAGAATTATGTTTATTATTTTAATTATGGGCTGCATCTGATGTGATGCATGGGCTAAACGGCTAGATGAGAGATCTCAAAGATTCAGGCACAGCCATCTCTAATTTAGAATTACTGATACAGGGTAGAACAATCAGTGAACAAACCTTATGTCGGTGTGATCACTCTTACCCAAGTAGCAAGATTGACTGTCACAGTTATAATCCCCTGAATTGAAAGTACAGAGTGTGTTCATCATATTGTAGCTTAAAACTTGGGCCTTCCAATCTGTAACCTGACACACTAAACAAACATTCTCCACTTAGAAAAGTAAATATTATTAGAAAACAATGAATACTGAAACATTTCACACAACAGGATCACTACTGCAATATTTGTAACAATTTTTATTTCTTTCAAAAAACCCTATAGTTATTTTGGTCTTTTTTTCCGGATAAGAAGTTTAATTATTTTTTCTGTATGTATGTGTGTGCGTTTTAGCAGCTCTGTCAATGCTTGTCATTGGCATCATTTATTTTGCATTACTGTTACTCATATTTAAATCTCTTTCTAAATGTTGTATTTTTAATTAATATTTTAGTAGGATTAGTAGTAGTTGAAGCATATTTTTTTTTCTGCCTCTCTATCCTCAGGTGTACAGCAGAACAAGAAATAACATTTTACAACAACAAAAAGAAAATGAAACAAAACAGGTAAGGTTTTTGTTTTAATTAATTATACATGCCTTATTTTACTATTAAGTTTGTTGAAGTTCTTGAAAAAAATAGTAAAAGAAGCTCAATATTTAACTTGAAATAATATACTTGAACTTAATAATTGTACTATAATTAACTTATATAAAAGTGATATATAGCTGCCAAGATGGCAGACAAAAATTTTAAAGCTTTGTTTGTTGTTACTAGAATACCTTCAAAATGCTTTGAAATTTGGACTTTTAAATCTGAAAATACATTACAATGAACTGTTGTTTGACTTACATGCATACATTTAGTGTTATTTTTACAGACATAAAGATAAAAGCTATAATGTGGGTTCATTCAAGTCCACTTGAATATACCATAACTGTATCTAAGCTCTCAAAGATCTTTAAACATTCAGACTCTGAAATAATAAAATATCTAAAATTAAACGTTTTTAACTCGTGATTATTTACTTCTGTATAACAGAATGATAAAGAATTGAAGCATAAAGATCACTGTGACAAAGAGGCAACTGTCACTGAAGAAAGTGAGATTACACTGAATGAAGACGATGAAGAAAAGTATGTACCATACATGTGTGTTTGTGTGTATATATATATGTGTATACGCTATATTTTCCTTCATATACACTGGAAGAATTACTGAAAGTCATATTTATCCTAGTTTCAGTTGCTAGCATAAGGTTGGATGATATGATGTATGCGTGAAATGCAAACATTGTGACAGCAGACAAGAAAACTATAAAGCAGAAGTAATAGCAAGAATAAAATAACATATTGTTGCGTCATCGAGATCACGTGACAATTCTCACGCTCTCTT